GGGTCCCGGAGTCCAACAGGGTGTGCCTGTCTCCAGATGTAAGTGGCAGGGGTGTCCCAGCACTCCGGGATGACAATTGCAGGTAAAGTCCGCTCAGGGGTGCACCCTGGCCTCCCTTCCCAAGGCCTGGCTCGACCACCTACCTGGGTAAGCTGCTGTTGCCACCAGCTCCTCTGTGGTCAGGCCCTTCCCTCTGACTGTCCCATCAGACCTGCAGGGAGAAGAGGGAGGTGTCCTTGCGGTGCCTCCCGGGGCCCAGAAGCACCCCAGAAGCCCATCCCCTGGGCCCCAGGTGCCCTGAGGACAGTGAGATCTGCCCCCTTCCACACCCAGCACAGCTGTCCCTTTCTCTCAGGAGTGGGCCATTTCAGCCCCACCCTGTGGGCAGCTGTAGGCTCACGCCCCATGAGCAGCCCACTGCCTGGGGCTGGGATGTCCACCCCTGGGAGGACAGAGACGATGCCAGTAGTCACTTCCTGGGACCTGTCCCGGCTCCCCGCTCGGTGGCTGAAGCCTCCCCATGCCGGCCACTAGGCAGCTTGGACAGTGCTGTCCTATCCCTGGTTGGAGCTGCCTGCAGTAGAAAGAAGGGCAGCCCTGGGGCAGCAGGGTGAACCTGGCCGCCCCTCACAGACAGAGCAGATGCCGGAGGGGGCGGGGGTCAGAGAAGGGCTATGGGCCACAGGGCACCAGGGAGGGGCCCACCGTGCAGACCCTCTGAGGAGGGGCCCTGCAATCAGCAGTGAGTGGCACCTGCGTGCTTAGGGCCATGCTGTGGAGGTGGGGGAGGGGAGGCCTGACAACAACGCTGTGTCCCTTCTGAGGACCCGAGGCCAGTCCTCCGGAGGACAGGCAGGGTCCGAAGGGTCGGAGACAGCACAGGGTTGCCCTGTCTGGCTCCCTTGCCCTCTGGCCATAGCTGCCCGGGAGATATCCTACCAGGGATCCAGACCTGGGCCCCAATGTTCCACCAACAACGTGGGCCATGTCCACACAGTGGTCCTGTCTTTCCCCGAGGGCCGTGGGGGCTCCACGGTGGATCTGATCTACACTGAGTTCTGGGAGAAGAGTCCTGGCATGGGGAGGGGGCGGGGGCAGGGGGATACCAGTTAACCTGGGAGGGGGCACTGTCCAGGAAGGGCGGTGTCTGGGTTGGGGAGCCGGTGAGCTGTGTCTCTCTGTGGGAAGCCCTTTGCTTCTGTCATACAGGGAGCTGTGACCAGCCTGCACATGTGCCCTGGGGCACAGGTCACCGGCTTGGCCCCCGGGCCGTCCAGCTGCTAGGGCACCAGGAGCTGGCATCATATGGTTGCCTTCCCGGAGCCCGGTCCCACTGCTGCTTGCCAAATGGCACAAGGGCTCCCGGGGGTGGGGTGGGGTGGGGTGGGGGCGGGGCAGCCTGACTGTGCCTTGAACTCTCCCATCCGCTCAGACCCAGAGCTGAGAAGCTAGGGTGAGGAGTCCCTGAGAGTGGCTTTCAGTGGACACAAGGACCACAGCCCGTTGGCATGGGTAGGGTGGACTTGGTGACGCAGGCAGCTTCCGACCCCTCACTAAGCCTAAATCCCGCCTCTCCGGTGTGGGTGATAAAAAATTAAAGACACCAGATTTTGGAATTGCTTCATTTGGAGAGGGGAGGGGGAGGGCTGGGCCCAGTCCTGGGAGTCGTGGTAAGGGTTCTGGGGGAAGGGGGGACAGGAAGATAAATAATTGAGCAGCAGGAATAACTGGAGTCTGTCGGGCTGCCAGCTTGGAGAGAAATACACGGGTTACAAGAATCCTCGGAGTTTTTATGGAACCCCCAGGGCTTTGAGCAAACAGAGGCAGAGCCGGGACAGCGCCCAGGCCCTGGCATGCGGAGATGGTGGGGGTGGGTTGGCCGGGACCGTGGCGGGTGCAGGCTGTGCTGGGCAGGCTGCTCCAGGTAGCTGTGGAGCCAGAGGGACGAGGCCTGGTGGGGAGAAGGCTGGGGAAGGAGCTCTTTCCCAACCGGTGTCTCCTCCGCAGGGACCCAGACTCCTGTCCAGGGCCCACCCCCAGAGGTGTGCGCTGGGGTTCTGCAGGCGAGGCCTAGGAGGTGAGGCCGTGAGAGGCGCCAGCAAAGGCTCGCCCTGATGGACAGGCCTGTGCTCGACTGGCCAGGGCCCGGGGCTGTGAAGGAGCCATGGGAAGGCCAACAGGGGGTGGTACTGCTGGCACAGGCCTGGGTGAGTACGGCATGGCGGTGTGAGGTAGGGATTGAGTCGGACTGTGTGCCTCCGCCGCAGAAGAGGATGCTGGGGAGGCTGGGACCCACAGAATGAGGGGAGGACCCGGCATAGCGGACAGAGCAGGCTTGTGGCTCTGGGGGAGGAGGAGAGAGCCCGGGAGCCTGGGTGGAGGACACCATGTATGGGCCAGTGTCCCAGGGCGATCCCGTGGCTGCCAGGAACTGCCCAGAGCTGTGCTGAGGGGTCCCTGCTGACGGGTCACTCCTCATCTCTGTTTCCACACACGGCGTCTTCGCCGCTGGCTTGCCTGACCTCCCTTTCTGGTTCTTGGGTTTCTGGCTGACTCCTGAGTCTATGCTTCAAATATTTCTGCCTCCTCATCCCCTCCCATCTTTTTTGAAGACTCCAATTGCCGGTCTACTTGTCCGGGGGGTGGTGGTGTTCCATTATTCAGGAGGCTCCGGTCGTAGGTGGCCCTCCCTGTCTCGTACTGGATTGTTCTTCTGCAGTCGTATTTGCCATCAGAGTCCCTTCGTCTCAGCGGTGGCGGCTTCAGCTTCTGACATCTGATTCCGGCCCTTTCTCTGCCTTCCAAGTGGCTGCCCAGCACGCCCAATCCTTCCTTGGGCTCCTGGAGTGTAGGGCCGACAGCGGATGTCCTTGTCTGCCGAAGGGCTCCTCTGTGCCACGTCTGGGTCGGTTTGGATGGATGGAGTTTTCTCCTCATGAAGGGGCAGGTGTTTTTTTTGCTTCTTGGCCTGCCTGGTAATTTCTGAGCCGATCTTTCTGCTCTTTTTTGGTGTTGTTGAAGTTCACCATGGTGAGACCTGGGTTGGTTCTGTGCCCCGGGTGCATCCTGAGCGTGGTGTGGGGCATGAGCTGAAGTGACTTGGGAACCGCTGGCTCCTTTGGGGTCTTTCTTCCCAGCTTTGTGAGGTGTGCTAAGGGGCAGTGGTCATCCTGGAGCTGGTCCTCCCCTAAGCCCTGGTAGCGTAGTGGTTGTGAATAGGGCTGTGATCCACATGGTTGGTGTTTCAAAACCACCAGCAGCTCTGCGGGAGGAAGCCTGGGCTTTCTTCTCCCGTAAAGAGGTGTCTGAGAAACCCACAGGTGGTCACTGTGAGTCCGCACTGACTCGATGGCAGTGAGTTTGGCTTTGTGGGTTAAGGCCTGGTGGTGTAGTCATTAGGCATTGGGCTGCCGGCTGCAAGGTCTGAGGTTCGAAACCACCAGCCACTCTTCAGGAGCGAGACCGGGCTTTCTACTCCTGTGAAGAATTACAGCTGCTCTCTCTGTCTTTCTGCTGACAAGACACATGGAGCCATCCTGATCCCAGGCAGAGCCCTGGAGTTGAAGGAGCCACGTAGAGACCCACGCCAGTGCTGAGATGCTCCCACTGCCACTGGATCCACAAGACTTTCCATTCACTGGCCTGTGACCTTCCTGCATTTGGGGTCATTGCATGTGTTGTGTGAGTCTGAAGAGGAATTTATAGACTGATATCAGACATATGGGCTAATATCAGATTTATGGACTTGATCTGGACTGGGATGGAATGTTTTCTCAATATACAATTGCTCTTTGATATAAAGCTCTCTCACACACACACACACACACACACACACACACACACACACACACACACACACACACACACAGTCTCAGAAGCCCGCAGCAGGGCATTCTACCCTGTGCTAGAGGGTCAGGATGAGGCGACATCAACTGGACGGCTTTTGACGTGTGGCTTTTGGTTTTGAAAGTCCTCTGCCCACTCCTCCACGCATTCCAAGTTTCTTTCCCGCCTGGCTGGCAGGTCAGGCCCTGTCCCCACCCCTGGGTGCACCCAGGCCCTGCTCCCTCTGATCTCCTCCAGTGGCTCTGGCCCCAGCCTCCTGTGGCTTTCTTGCTTGCCTGCGTGGACTGACCGGTGCTCCAAGAGCTCCCGCCTCTCCCTGGTGCTCCCACCTGTGCCTCCCCCAGACTCCCAGCTCCGCCTCGCCCGCCATGGTCTGCGGACGGTCCGACAGTGAGCCAGGCGAGTGGAGGGCTTGCCCCGCCAGCCTCCTGCTCCCTGCCCGATGACTCCGCTGTTGAGAAGCTGGGAGTCTCATCTAGTTTTCTGGGTTGTTCGCAGCAGGAGAGGCCCTGTCTCTCTAAGCCCATCCGGGCCACACTCGCCCACCCCGGTGGACACCTTCCAACGGTCCACCCTCGGGCGGGGATCTCCTTAGTGGGGGCCCTCATGTCCATGGCCACTGGAGGAGGGGTGCACGAGATGCCTCTGCTCCCTCGCTCCAGGGTCGGTCTCATGAAGCCTCTTCGGACTGCGGAATGTGCCCATCCCATCGGCAGCCTCTTGTGAGCAGAACCTTGAGGGGAGGGAGGACTCATGGCTCCTCTTTAATGGGGTGCAACCAGGGCTCACGCCCCCCCCCCCCACGCACATTTAGTCTGCAGGAGGCCTGGGGAAACAAAATGCCACTGCCATTTACCTCCCCGGCCCCTGCCATCGCCACAGGGAGTCCCGGGCTGATGCCAATGGCCAGGGGAGGGGCACAGCTGCACCTTGGCAGAAGGGCCTGGCGATCCAGGACAAGGCCTGTGGCAAATCCACGGAGCGCAGTCCTGTCCCGACGTACGTGGGGCTACCAGGAGGCGGCCCTGACCAGAAGGCATCTGGACAGTTCTTTAAAGCCCTCTGTTTGGCATATTGTACAGAGCCTTAAATTCCACTCTCTGTAGGAATCGCAGGGGGCCCCCAAACCACACGTGTTACGTGGTTTTGAATTCTTCACGTTTGTGGTTTGGGGACTCTCGGAACAGACCCCAGAGCAGAGAGAAGAAGCAAGCACCCACCCCGGCGGTCTACAGGACGGAACCCTGACTGGGCAAGGGTGAGTCTGACCGGCCAAGGAGCCCCACTCCTGCCCATCCTCCCTGGCTCGCTGTGTTTCTGCTTGAGACCCCTGGGTTCCAGGTGCTCTGGCTCGCCGCTGGGGGA